TCTGGTAGGGAAACCTTAGCTTATTCCCCAAGTTGCTGGCAGGTTCGCTGAATTTTGGCAAATGGACTCAAGGCTGAGCTCTAAGAGGAATTCCTCATTTCCGTGGTTGACAGGGAGTGGAAAGGCAAGGCAAACCATCTGCAGCTGGCAGGAGAAGGAGAGCTGGGGGTTCCTCCCCTGGCCTCAGGGTTTGGGACTGGTAGAAAGAGCTGAGGAGGGGCTCACAGTACAGCACGGCCTAGCAGGGCAGTAACTAGGTCTATTTAGCTGAGTTTCCCCCACCCCCGACTGGCCTTTGGGTCTTTCTCAAGGTGAATTCATGACCCATCAGTGCATTAATCATTTCAGTAACAAATGCAGCTTAAGGTATTTTTCTTTAAAAAAAAATAGGAATAAAAGGATTTACAAAAAAACCTCACACAGTGCAATAATAAAGGAAACCAGACACTAGTGGAACCCCTTGGGCCACTGTATCTTGTCACGGGCAAAAGGAGGAAGGGAGGTGAGGTCTGGGTAAGAGTGCTTTTCCCCAGTCCCCTGCTGGCACTTCTCCATGATGACAGGGAGTCTCTGCCTTCCTGGCCACAGTGCTGGGCTCCTGGCATGACAGTGAATGTTCCAGCAGAGCCACCAAAGTTCTTAATTAAGGTCACGGAAGAACAGGGAGCCCAGGATGGAAGGCACAGCAGAGCCACGAGTCCCGGGGCAGAGAGCGCTGGGCTGAGTCGTATTGCTTCGCTAGACTTCCTTCCGTAGAAATGGGCTTCTCGAGGCGAGAAAAGGTGCCTCGCCCTCCACTGGACTACGCTGCTCTGAAACCTTGCAGCTGACAGAGGCAGAGGAGAATCTGCTTTATCGTGAGTGGTCAGACTGTGCTTCAGTTTCAACGGGCTGCCCCAAAAGAGGGCACAGGGGGATCCGGGGGGGTCTTTGCAGGCATGAGGACTTGGTGGGCAGAGGGAGAGGGAACGAGGTGACCTATGAGGCAGATGGTGATGGAAAATGTCAGGTTGCCATTCAGCTTGGTTGCTAACTCTGAAGGAGGAAAGACGAGGCAAGTGTAGGTTCCCACCTCTCAGCACTGAGCTGTGCCAGAAAGGAGAGAGACAGGGCAGGAAAGAAGAGAAGAAACTGCTGTGTCGAGATCCTACCGCAGCCTTTTCAGGAGCTTCGATTTGGGAAGGAGGGGAGTGGCCCGATGGAGCTGGGGGGACCTTCCTTTGCCATTTATTGTCAAAGAGCAAACCCAGGAAACGTTTATGTCAACAGGGCACAAACAAGCTACACATTAAACAACAAAAAGTACACCTTCCAGGGGGAAGTTGGGCAGGAAAAACCAGACTTGGTGTGTTCAGCTGAATATTTTCTCTAACTTCATCCTATGAAAATAAAAAAGTATTAAAAACCGATCTTCTTTTAAATTAGGATAATACCGCGGTTTAAAAAATAGCCTTGTCATAAGTGCTTCTCCCTATGAAGTGCTTCTCATAGAAAAATATACAAAATATATTTACATTTATAAAACCTTAAATAGTAAACTGTAAACAGAACAGAGTAAAATCCAATGACTTAATTTAACAGGTTCAGGACACTGTCTTGGGGAAAGGAAGAGAAGAAACATTTGATGCTGTTTTGACCACATCCTAGGGAGTAATCAGGGCAGTAGTGTCATTTAATTTACTTTATCCATAGATTTTGTGCAGGTGGCAGAGTTCCCTCGATACAAGGTGGTCTAGTCCCCAAGTTTTGGGCCTTGAAATCTGATTAGTGTTCTGCCTTCAACCGGACACTGACCATTTAAAAATTAAGTCTTCCTATGTCTTAACAAGGGGAAAATAAAGTTATCACGTCCTAGGAATGGGGCCCAGGGGTTACCCTGGTTGTGATACTCTGGTTGTTGCATGATTCAACTCCTATTTAAATAGTCTTCCTCTTCTAATAAATCATGCTACATATATTTCTTTAAAACTCTCAGTGGAGTTTAATGAAAACGTCTGCAAATTCTGTCTGGTTATGGCCAATGGCTCCTGTCCACTTCCCCACTGGGAGTGCTTACAGGCTCAGGGAACGTTTTGTAGGCACATCCTATGCCCAACAGGGAGTGTCCTCGAGCGGGGAGTCACTCTCCCCTACCACCCAGAGAGCACGGGAAAGCAGTGGGATGCAGAACGGGGGACGAGAAAAGTGGAGTGAAGAGAAGGAATGAGAGGGAAGCCGCTCCTATTGTCTAGGAAGGTGACTGTCTGAGATAAGGCTCATGGGGGTAACACTCCCACTTACAGCCCACAGGCTCAACGTCTGGTAATGAACTGGCACAACCCCAAGACAGCCTTTGACACCAAAGGTGCTAAGAAATCCTGTCTCCCAACCAGAAAGGAACTCTCAAGTGGGAGCATCGTAGGGAAAACCACCAGACCGTCTTTGTTCAACACACGGCTACAGGCTGGGCCCGGCTGGCAACCAACCC